CCTTAGGATTGTGCACTCTGCATTAATCTCAAGCCCTCTAATAAAATGAGAACCTCCCACCATCCCACGATAGGTTATCATTACATGAACTATACATGGGAATAGTGGACAGAAAATGTTGAAAATTCTGAAGTTGAACAGAATTTAAAATATGGTTTAGAGTTTTCGCTAAATCTAACCAATTTAGGGTATGCCTTGGGTCATTTGCTTCTAGCTTTTCAGCCTCTCTCTTGTACTCTATTTTATCATATGGTTTTTAATAAAATCACCAAATTCAATTATATATATATATATTAGGCAAACCCAACTTTCACACGGAAGAAACTGTGAGATATAAAATTGTAATATTGGCAAATTGCGGAGTCAAAACTTAATGATTGAGTTGTAATCTTTGTTTATCTTAAGTCTCGATTTTTTGGAGTTGAAGCATAAGTGCCTCTTACTATTGCATCCATTGAGAACATCATATAGTACAGGTAAGTGTGTGAGGAACACTTGGTGTGAATATTTTTAAGGTTAGGTATGAGAACTCAGGTTTAAATTGTCATTCAGCGAAGTCCAACCGGTTACACGGAAACACCTCTGAGGAAAAGCTAAGAGCTTGAGCCGAAAATTATCAAACCAGGACAATATAGCTTGGGCATAAAAACATTGGACAAACAGGTGGTTCCTCGAGTCATCTCCATTAAAACGGAAATGGGAAACAGATGGGACACACACTTAAAGATTAAACAGGAAGTAAAATTAACATGATATTGGCCTACCTTTTACTCCAAACCATAACCCAATGGACCTTAGGATTGTGCAATCTACAATTATCTCAAGCCCTCTTATAAAATCAGAACCTCTCTCCATCCCACAATAGGTTATAATTACATGAACCATACGTGGGAATAGTGGACAGAAAATGTTGAAAATTATGAAGTTGAACAGAATTTAAAATATGGTTTAGAGCTTTCGCTAAATCTAACCAATTTAGGGTATGCCTCTAGTCATTTGCTTTTAGCTTTTCAGCCTTTCTCTTGTCCTCTATTATATCATATGGTTTTTAATAAAATCACCAAATTCAATAAACTATATATATATATATTAGGCAAACCCAACTTTCACGCTGAAGAAACTGTGAGATATAAAATTGTGATATTGGCAAATTGCGGAGTTAAAACTTAATGATCGAGTTGTATTCTTTGTTTATCTTAAGTCTCGATTTTTTGGAGTTGAAGCGTAAGTGCCTCTTACTGTTGCATCCATTGAGAACATCATGTAGTATAGGTTACTGTGTGAGGAACACTTGTGTGAATATTTTTAAGGTTAGGTATGAGAACTTAGGTTTGAATTGTCATTCAACAAAGTCCAACAGGTTGCACTTCATGTTAGAACCGGTTGTATTTTCTCAACAAAATCCAACCGGTGGCACTTTCTGATGAGAAACATGTCTCAGCAAAAATCCAACGGGTTGCACTATCAAGTCCAACCGGTTGCAATTTTTTGGAGGTGCGAAATCAGATTTTGGTAACTTTTCAGTTTCCTATTTGTACCCAAACTTGTAGGGCAGTCCTTACACTATTTTAAAAGCTTTTTTCACTCATTATAACGGCTTTCTACTATATATATAACATCTTTCTAAAACTCTAGTGAGAGATTTTTGTGGTTTCAATTGGAAAATCAAAGTTTTCATCTTGTACTCATCATTAAAGCTTTTTAAGAAGATTTTCAGAGAAATCTGATTGTTTGCTTTTATGAGCACATACTTAAACACAAGAGTGATTAGGGTGATATTCTTATATTGATCAACAGGGAATCTTTAGAGTTTACATCATATTACAAGTTGATCAAAGTAGCAGAATTTCTTTCCAACTTCAGAAAATCAGTTCTTGAAAAAAAAGGAGGAGAAGATCACACTTTGAAGGGATCAAGAGGCTCGTGGATTATTGGTTAATCTACCAACAATCCTTCTATAGAAATCAAGAGTAATTATGAGGTTGGGATCGAGCTGTTGAACGGGGGAGTCGCAAAGTCAGGATTGTAAACAATTGTTTTTTGATAGAGTGATAGGGTATGAGCCTGAGTCAGAGTCGACTAGTACTTTGCTACATACATAGTGACCTTTTTGCTCAAGATAACATAGTCAATCATGGTTTCCTCGCTAAAAATCCAATGTCATCTCTCAAACTCTACTTTACTTGCTTTCATTATTTTTGTGATTGTGGATGTTTAATTGATCATAATTGTGGGTAAGTTAATCAAACATGCATGAAAATTGGACAAGTTGACATATTCACCCCCCTTTAGGTCATTTAGAGTGTTAATCACGACTTAATTAACTAACAGCTTATGCGCTGTGTTACTCACATAAACGAGTAGGAAGAACAAGCAAAGTTCACCCTTAGACACACACACACAGTTACACTTAGCCTTCGTCACTTACAAAACAAAATATTACTGACTTGCATTTCAGAGGCAAAAAACTGAACTCCTGAAACTAGGCCACATCAGGAAGAGTGCCATAAGCCCTGCGAAATTGTCCACTGGCATAGAGATAATAGTTTCTTTGCATTTCCTACGCGAGCCCGCTTTGTGAGGTTGTTGTAGTCATTGGCCTCAATTACATCCAAAGTCTGCCGATATAGAAACAATGATGCCAACACCGGCCATCTATTCGCTGAGTTCAACTCTGCAATTCCCTTCTCAGCCTCATCATAGAACATTCTAGCTCAGATTATTTGTCCTTTCATGAAACTCCGCCACTTATCAGTAACTTCCCCCCTAAATATATCATCATCTGAAAGGCCACCGCGTGCAAGCTCATCTTGTGGAAGATACACTCTTCCCCTCCTAGCACTAGGAAGAACAAATGAAGGATGTATCTTAGTCCAGACACAACATATTTGAAAGCATTTTAATCTGAAAGTTTGTAGCCATAAATATTTTCCAAAATCATTATCAAAGGTGAAATGTTGAGGGTAATCCCTCACGATGGATTTTCCATTGTTTGATGAACAATTAACTTAACAAAGAAACGCAGTCATCTCATAAATTGAAGCCGAAAAAACAAAAAAATAAATAAATAAAATAAAAATTGATAACCAACAAGAGATCAAAATAAATATCATAATTTTATATATATGTATATATTAAATTGAACATGTACGTTTTACTAGTAGTAAGTATACGCGGACATATATATAATCTTCTTGTGGAAGTGTGGTATGACATTAGCAAATATGTTCTTGACAGTTTAGTTAATAAAAACCTCGGCATTATAAGAATCTTACTCTTCTCCCATGTCTCTAAGTATGTTAGTGAGCTGATTACCCAGCGCTAGGGCTACCACAGCATTATATACACTCTCTATTGAGGCAATGGATTCCGGTGCAATCCCAATCACTGGAACACTTATTATTCCCACTGTTCCGGCAACTAAGTAGCAATAGAGATAGAGCTCATCAAAGTTTTTGTATCTCGTCTTTGTTAAGTCGAACCTCATTCCTTCTATCATGTCCTTGAAGAGCTGACCGCAGAGAACGTACACATATTTGTTACAAAGATAAATAAATAAATAAATAACTTGGCAAAGCATAGGAAGACAAAGTAAAATACATTTACCAATATGCCTATATACACATATATACATGTACATAAAGTTACTCAGATAGTTGAAATTCAAAGGGGTTAATTAATCAGCATTTTACTCTACAATAATATATACCTGTATATCAATAGGGTATTTTGAGACAGTATCAGATAAGGCAGCATCATATATATCAGAGGGATGACCTTCGAAAACCTCAGTTAGCCTTTCCTCCCATCTGTCGAGAGCTTTGGGTGTGACATATGAAGCGCAAGGTCCATCCACAATTTCGTCAGTCCTTCTGCACCACACTGCAGGATAGAGTGCATTGTTCAATTAGAGAAATAGTCATTCATAAACTAACAGGCCAATGGCCTAGCGATACCAGGCTCCTACTTCTCAAAAAAAGGTCGGGGGTTTGAGTCTCGGTGGAAACATTTGTGTGATGAGTACCATCTAAGAAAAAATAAATAAAATAAAAAAAATAGTCATTCATAATCTATAGTGATCTTGTTAAGTGCTAACATCACAATGATAAAATAATACGTGTTTATCTCTATGGCCTCCGGCATGATGATAGAATGACATGAACTTAATATATATATATATATATATATATATATATATATATATATATATATATTTTCCTCGAGCAGGCAAGAAGCCAAGAGGGGTCGTTATTGTAGACTGCAGGGTAGAAGAAGAAGCACCATCCGGAGGGCGTGATGTTAAGAAGTTCTAGGCCATGCTTGGATTGCATTTCAGAGAACTATTCTTGAGAACAGTTCTCAAGAATAGTTTTCAGAGAACAGTTTTCAATTTTTTCAGATTTCAAACCTGCTTGGTTAAGAGAATTTACAAAACAGTTTCCGGAAAACAAAAACTCATAAAACTATTTGGTTGTATGAGTTTTTGAAAATAGTTTTCTGAACTAAGAAAATAAATAAAAATATTATTGTACCTCATTTTTTTATTTCTTTAATTTATGATATTAACTATTAATGTAAATAAGTGTTGGAGGTAAATTCATTTTAGCTAGTATTCTTAACTTAAAAACAGTTACACAAATACATATATCAAATTTAATTACAATCCTCTTTCTGCATAACTCCAAAATGGAGGTTCTGTTTGGTGCTTGGGAGCAAGCTAGCATCCAAAGATCTCTGTGAAGTCATTGAAGTGTCCTTTTGGAGTTATGCAGAAAGAGGATTTTGGAGTCCAAGTTTTGAAGTTTTGGTTAGTGCTACTGTGCAAGCTAGTGTTGAAGACATTGTTGTTTCATGTTGAATTATATTATCCTTCAGATAAGGACTTTTGTTTGTATAGTTGTATTTTGTTTCCCCTTCATAGGACTCCATGTACATTCTTCCTAAATTTAAATACAATAAAAGAGTTACATCAAACATTATAAATTAAACATAATAAAAGGTACACCAAAACAAAGTTTTCATAACATAAAACATAATAAATTGTCCCCCACACGAATATAACATAAAGTCACATGCATTGGAAAAAAAAAAAAAAAAAAAAAAAAAAAAGGCATAAGGAAATTGTTCAATAACACATAAAACCAAATATGTGTTTCAAGTCACATGCAACCAAAAACTAAACCCTGCATTCAATAACTACCCAAGTCAGTCCAAGCTCTTCAACCAAGCAAACTTCAAGTCAGTCCAAGCTCTTTAACCAAGCAAACTTCCTAGAAATACTCATCTTAATGAACAATTCTCTATAGTGCAATTCCTTGAACTTTTCAGTTGCCTTCAAATATGTGTCATCATCTATCTCGTCAAGACCCTCAAGGCATTCAATACAATTACTTAGAGAGTATGCATCTGGGCTTGTTGCCTTTTGAGTATGTTTCATTTTCTTATACGTCTCCGCCTTAGCTAATGAAGCTTCAGTCCTTGCTTTGGAAGCTTCAACAATACAAGCAAGAGTATCGCTAATGGAATCTTTTTTACTCTCTTTTTTTGCACGACGATTAGAGGATGTGGATTTACGACGATGAGGGTTATTGTCTTCAACTAGAATATTATCTTAATCATCTTGACCTTCAGCAGTTGAACTAACATGGACACCTATATTCATAAATTGATCCTCCTGCTCTCGTTCTTCGTCTGTATTAGGTGGATCTTGAGTGGATGCATAGTGAAGTTGCCCAGTAGCAATCGACGTATTAAAAAGAACTCTCAAAAGTTTGTAATTTTCACAACCTTTTTTGCGAAAATACTTAGCATTGGGATGAGCCTGAAAATATATATATATATATATATATATATATATATATATATATAAAGATTGTTAGGAATAACCATGTTAAAAAATTAAACTAACTATTGTAAATAATTAATTAAATACATATTTTACCCGCAAATATGTTTGCCAAGTTTCTTCATCAGCAGTCACAGTGTTTGTTTCCGCATCCCAACCAAACCCAGTTGTCTCGTTTAGAAGAGTTGAAAACTCACGATGCTTTGTACGTAATCGATTAAATTTTGCCTTTAGTTGTTTCACATTATAAGCGTGATTAGTCTTATTTTTGAACTCCTCCGTAATCTTTTTCCAACACTTGAAAGTAAATATCCCAGATGGCATGTTCCCCTTGTTAACCTCCTCAACCATTATATCAACAAAACATCTCTCTAATTGTGTAGACCACAGAGCTGACTCCTCAACATCAGCAATTTGAGATGCCATCCTTTATTTGTGCATTAGGCAAAGAATTACAAGCAATAAAAGATTTTCACACAACTCAAATATGTATAATACCCATAAAGTTAATCCACCTCTGAACATAATTTCTAATCCAAATTGATAATGCTAATCCAATAGTTAAGAATCAAACAAGCTTTAAATATTTAGAAACACTAGTAAAATATTTAGAAGTTGTACACATACCATTCTAGTCACTAATTTAATTATGGCCTCAGTTTCACACATGTATGATGAGATTCGACCACAATGATGCTGGGAGGTCGGCCTGCTCTACCCAATCTTCATGTACAGTATAGCTCTATATAAATTATTGCATAACAATAATTAGGGTGATGAAGAGTTGAATTGGCAGCTTCAATAAAAGTTACCTTCAAGCACCTTTTTGGATTTTATATTATGCATGTTAATTGAAACAATGAAATCCATGGAGAGACTCTTGACAAGAACTCTGAGCTTGACTATGAATTAAATTTACAACAAACCAATTTCAAACAGAAGTTGGTCATGAAACTAGTACTACTGTAATTGAATTTTATGTTTGCAGTCATTTCAAGTTCTCAGTTGCAATTTTCTCTATAAAGCATAACGGAGACAGGCACATCAAGATATTCCTAACAAGGGTCTACAAACAAAAATGAAGAGTTGGCTACTGGTTCATGTGTGATAACTAGTAAACAGTGATATCAACTTAGAGAAATAAATAGTTCAGGTTAAGCTAATTCAAATTGAAGCACAATCTACTTTCTACTTTACATATATGATCACAACAACATCATATAAATTATAAATAAATTTAATCCATTGATCACAAATAGAGAATTAAATAACACTAAAACAAACAAACAAATTCCTTTAGATACCTTTCGATCACTTTATGATAAACAAATTAAGACGATTATCAATGGATATTCACATGAAATTACACCAAACTGTAGTACAGAATCATCCCCAAGGCCCAAAGATCTTGATCACGACATAGCAGAATTATACACATGTTACATCATGCTAAACAATATAGGGAGGAAAAAAAAAAAAAAAAGAAGGGAAAATGTTAAAATGGATGTCCTCATTTAATAGACTTGAAGAAAACCATGTAAACCCCCCCTTATGACGAACCAAAGTTCATCATTCTTAAGCTCTCTCAAGCTCATAACCTCCAAAAAAAAGAAATTGTTCACTTGTGTTGAAACATTCTAGCCACACTACATCTTGCACATAATTCACAAGAAAAGAAAGAATTGCTTTCACACCCTACCATCTGAGAGACCGGAACACAAAATAAGAATGAATATTTATTTAAATGGGAGTTTGTATTTCATCCAAAAAAAAGACAAAAACAGAGACCTATATATATATATATATATATATATATATATATATATATAGTTCAATTTTAATATGATAGTACTTGCATATCTTATATATATATAGTTCAATTCAAACCCAGTAAAATATGTTATACAGAAAAAAAAAATTAAAAAATCAGTAAGAATCAAACACAAATCACAATTAAATATGCCCACTACACAATTTCATTCTGCTATTGCAGAGACAGAGCACCCTTCACCATCACATGTTATATGATTCACGGTCCTTTCACAAAGTAACAGAAATTGCAATGTCAAAGAAGAAATTACAACCGCATAGATGCAATAACGCAAATCACAATTAAATATGGACCTCAACATAGAATCTGAAAATTGCATTTTGGAATTCGGATTGTTCTCCCATAGGGACTGTTTGTTTGAGGGAGTGGAAATTGAGGCAAAGGGGACCATATATATATATATGTAGACTAATTTATACATACACATATCAAATCCTTAAATTGAAAACCAAATCCCTAAACTGAAAACTCTAAATCTCTAAACTGAAAATCAAATCCACAGCAAACTCACACAACCAACAAAATACATAATCAAATCTTGATATCATACTCATCCAACCAACCAAATCTATAACCAAATCCACAAAGAAAACAAAATCCATAACCACAAAAACTTGCTACAGAAAAAAGGAGTGTGATTTGTAGACTAATTTATACATACACATATGATCTTGCAGAGAGAAGCGGTGGAGAGGAGGGAGAAGCCGTAGAGAGGAGAGAGAAGCGGAGAAGTCGTAGAGAGGAGAGAGAAGAGAGGTGTTGCAGAGCCCATTTTGGAAGAGGCGTAAAAGGTCTGCTATGACCGAGAGCCGCTTCCCTTTTTTTTTTTTTTTTAAGTGCACAGTGTTCTCCGCATGTTTTCAGAAACTCCCAAAACAACATTTTGTTGTTTTCACAAAAATGATACTCATTGAACTCAGTTTTATGAAAACAATTTTCATAAAACAGGTTCCAAGTAGACTAAAAATTTGAAGAACAGTTTTTTGTATCTCCCAAAACATAATTCTTAAACAACATATTGGGACCCATTTTAATTAAGACAGTATAGTATAACAGGTGTAAATTGATTTGATGTATTACTGACCGCTATTTATTTGTGCATTTAACATTACACCATATTCAATTCTAATTTAGCCATCTCTCATATTTGGTTTCTTTTCTTATACGCATATATTATATATATATATATATATACATATTTATATATTGTTTATATATATATATGATTGAGAGCTCTAAAAGAGAGAACGAATGGTGTTATATTTACCAGTAACAAGTTTAGCTAATTATGTTTAATTTGGTATTATATCATTTTAATAGAACAATGTTATGCCTGTCCAACTTGCAAAAGCGACTTCCAGACGGGTATCCATCAGGGGCGCAAATCCTCTACTGTGGATTCCCATGCAGTCTCCTGCAATGAGTTCTTATATGGTTTATATATATTTGGTTACGTCATTCATTACCATTTGACAATTGAAACCGTGTTTGACAATTACACCACCATTTATAACATTTCACCACCAGTTGTAAGTAACATCACATGATCCTAAAAGTAACATCATAGGAGTCTAAAAGTAACATCATCATTTTTGTGCATACCTTAATTTAAGGGTGAGGAGACTTATAAATTGTGGTGAAATATTACTTATAAATAGTGGTGTAATTGTCAAACATTGAGTTACGTTTGTATGTGACATTACTTATCTTGCATTATGTGTATACTTTATTTTGAGAGTAAAGGTACTTATAAATGGTGGTGAAGAAGGATTTTAATTTTTTGTAATTGGTGCACCCAAACGTTACCTCAAGAGCTATTAAATAAAGAATGATGTAGCAAAATATAAGCCACTTAAAACTCACTACAGGGGACCGCATAGAATTCTCACAGCAGAAGATTTGTGCCCATTTATCAAAACCACATTTCAATTCCCGAACACCGATTATCGATTGGAAAAAAAACTCCACTTCAATTGCTGCATGACGTGACAAATCTAATGAAACAAAAAAAAAATTATGAGTTTCATTTATGGTTCGCTGTATCGAATGACATCGTAACTGTGAATCATAGTATCATTATAAACATTTGCTTTGGTCTTTGTATATGCATTTGCTCCAATCTCATAAAACAATCACGAACGCAACAAGCTAGTTTAATGTAGTAAAAGATTAAATAAACATACCACTTAATGCGTAAAAAGCCCTTCTCACATCCGTTGTCATGAATGATATTCCTGAAATTTTCAACTGAAAAAGTTCAATTTCATCCACATATGATGTGTTATAATATTCTATAAGTATATATAATATATATAGTATGCATTATTAAATGGGCAATTATGGAAGATTAATTTTTTTAATTAAATATTTAAATATAAAATAAATTAGAAGATGAAGCTATGAAAGTAACATATATAATAATATTATTTTTGCAAAATACTTTTCTACTACTACCTGCCATTAGAATTATATTTTTGTTTATAATAATGAAAAAAATATTTTTGTTTATAATAATGAAAAAAAATGTCATTGTGAACTTGAGCCGAGTGATCATTTGTATATAGTTTGGACATGTTGAGATATTTTCATATTGTTTGCGTGATTGTTGGTTGTGGCCAATGTATTATTTAAGGTTTTTTCTAGACCTATGGCCAATCAAAGTCATTGGTGTCGGATATATTATGGAGTTGACATCATATTTCACACTTCTGGTAAACGTAGAGTAGCGTCTTACACCCATTGATCAAGAATTTAAAGTAAACTCACCCATTGATCAAGAATTTAAAGTAAACTCTTGTATGTATTATTTAGAAAAAAAAATTATTTAAAGAAAGTGATAGTGTGTGAGACAAAGTTTAAAAAGAAAATGATAAAAGTGGAGAGTGTGGGAGAAGAATGCACACCAAAAAGAAAAAACTCTTCAAAAAATATGTATGGCAGATATAGGTCTACCCGTTTTTTTAAAGTGTAGAACCAACATCCAGTGTCATGATCTAGGATTGTGAAATGTTGAAACCAGAAAAGTGTTCGAGAGATGATCCATGTGTGTTTAAAATAATGAAATTTTTTTACTGCTTGAGTCAAGTTTTTATTTTTTTTAGATTGACGATAGTGGTGTTGAGCTTCTTAGAGCACCCAATAATTTATTATCAAACACGTGTAGTCCTCCGTCCCATATATATGCACCTGTCAATTACCAAAAAAATTCTTTGAAAGTGTCCCAAAAAGATTCGACAACCTGACCTCCAAAATCTTAGGTAGGAGTCTTTGGTGCTAGACTATCCCTTGCCGTTGGGTCTACTATACCTACCTAAACAATTCTCCGCACGTATTATGAAGTGTGTTAAAGAAATATTTTGTAAAAGTATCAGCTGGTGAAACGGGATTCGGATCTTTCCTATTTCTTCACATGACCTCTGCAACTCATTAGTATATCACAATATATACAACACACTACATCTATTAATATACAATACTATTGTAATCACCATGTAACACTCATGTAAAAATTTTCACTGTGTTTCAACCCGTCTACCATTAGATAAAATGAAATGATCTTGATTTGTGTTTGTACACACAAATTTTGTAAGTCTGCAATAGAAACAAAATATGGAGCAAAATAGAATTTTATTAATTTATGAATGTGGAGTACAGTCCTTTGTAATATCTTTTACAAAAAAAATGGTCCTCTGATTCGATCTCCTTGTTTTTGGTTGGTTGGATCCAAGGGCTGCACGAGCTTGTTCTTGAATCACTGTGGAATTTGATGAAGAACGGCACGTTGTTGGATGTGCTTGATGTTCTTCGTTTTTGGGTTTCGATTCTGAATTTGTGTCTGAATTCTGAGTCTCTGGATTTCTGAGTCTCTGAACTTCTGAATTTGTGTCTGAATTTGTAGACTTCTGAATTCTGAATCATCCCCCTTTTTCTTCCTCCAGGCCTCTATTTATAGGCTTCTTAGATTAATAGGATGATGACACGTGTCATCTCCGGATAAGGATAAAACTATAACTGGGCCGGGCCGGTTATATTGTGATAATTATCCTTAAATATAATTATTCAAAATATATTTTATTAGGAATAATTATCGTTTCAATTAATTATCTGGGCTGGGCTAATTAAATAATTTAAGTGAACCAAGCCTGGTAAATTAAATAATTTAGTTAAACATTAGGCCTATATTTAATGGTTTCATTCGTTAAAACCAAAGCCCACTAAATTTTAGTATCTACAAATTGCCCCCACTTCAAGTCCCAATTTTGACAAGACTCGTCTCTTTTTCCAAGTGGGACTTGAAGTTTCCTTTTTTTTTTTTTTTTTTTTTTCCATCTTAATTGTACTTTCCTATTTAAATTGAATTGTCAAAATCCCAAAAATCTTTGAAGACTTGTCAGATCACAAATAATTGGTACGTGTGTTTCTTCTTCTTCTTCTTCTTCTTTTTTTTTTTTTTTTTTTTCACACATGTAGGAGAACGATTTTTTTTTTTTTTTCTCTCTCCACGCATGTAGGAGAATTTTTTTTTTTTTTTTTTTTTTTTTTTTTCTCTCCACGCATGTAGGAGCACGAATTTTTTTTTTTTTGTTTTGTTTTTTTTTTTTTTTTCCTCTCTCTCCACGCATGTAGGAGAACAATTTTTTTTTTTCTCTCTCCACGCATGCAGGAGAACATTTTTTTTTTTTTTTTCTCTCTCCACGCACGCTGGAGAACTTTTTTTTTTTTTTTTTTTTGCAGGGCTTGATTGGATATAACAACTTGATTTGTGTCAACCGTAGCAGAAATTGAATCATCCTTCTAGACAACACCGATTTGAGCTTTGTAATCCATCATGGTGGTGTTCAAGTGTTTCGCAAAGCAAAACCTGACTATCTTAGAGAGCAAAAATAGTCAACGAGTCCAAGGAACGACATTAAGTGTATATGACTCACTTTTTGGTCGCAATGCTATTCAAGTGCCTGATTCTAACAATAAACATTGTTTATCTCATTGGACATGCACGGCCACATGCGAACTCACCGACTTTGGTCCTGATCAGATTAATGAAGAATCTATTATCTCTAAAGCCTTGATACTAAATTCTTCAGTTCATGAGAGAGTTGTTGAAGAAAACCAATTTTCACTATTGGGTCTTAATGTTCAGGCGAAGGAAATATCAAGGAGTATTCCCTATAAACTTCCTGCTGAATTGCTATACACCGAACTATATTGGGAGTGGTTAGAAGATGTCTTGGCGCGTTTCCACGACTTTCTATCAAAACAACAACTATATAGTGCTTTATTCGCCTCCCTATTTTCCTATGATCATCATGAAGATGTATTCAAAGCATTCCTTGAATGTTGGTGCCCATCCACTAATACACTTCATTATTCTATTGGCAAGCTATCAATTTCTCTTCGAGATCTATATATGCTAGGTGGTCTCCCTCACCAAGGAACAATTTATGGTGAAGTTATTCCTTGTGTAGATGAACTATCAAGAGCTGGCAACAACAAAAATTCTATCCCTTTTAGTTGTCAACACCTATTTTTGGCCTTCCACAGACTTTCCAAGAAGTATAAAGGAGATCAGAATGTGAAGATATCTGACTGGATTAATTTCTGGTTTAAAGGTGCATCAAGACATGCCAAACCTTCAAAGAAATCAACAAAAAAATAAAGTTCACCGCCCTATAAGGACTCAAAATCCGTCTGGTGTGATCCCTCCTGTCCGGTCGATGTCCACCAAAGAGAAAGAAGTATTTATCAACCTTGGTGTAGATGAAACATCGAGAGACACCACTTATCTAGCTGCTTTTTTAGCATGTTGGCTCTGCAAATTTGCCTTACCTGCACACCCTGGCAACATAATTCGTCCTGGGACTTTCAAGGTCGCAAGCATGTTAGCAGTTGGCTGCAACATTTGTCTTTCCATCCCGGTTCTGGCCAGTATTTACAGAGGCTTGAACGAGATTGTTTCCTCACCAGATCCTGGAAGCTGCTCTGCGATATTTCCTATTCACTATG